AAAAGATTTATTAATGTCACTTTTCTTTCTTTTATAAATAAGTCTCATTACCATTTTCAAATGGGTAATATGAGTTTGTACCTATTTTAAATAATTTGGGTACCCAACTCATTTAAGATGGGTAATTTGAATGGATACCCATATAATTTATTCATTATGTCATCCCTAATCACACCAATCTTGCCCTAGTGGTGTATAACAGTAATATATATCATAGTCTTTGAGTAACCCAAACCATCCAAGCTGCTTCAAATTCAAGTTTTTCTATTTGAAAATGTAGTTTAGGTTACGATGAATATGAATACCTCGCAATGCACACTTTATAAGTATTGTTTTCACACATTCAAGACAAGTGTCAACTCCATGTCTTGAGTGGAGTAGTTCTCATGCATCTTAAGTTATGTAGACGAATCAAAACACATCCCAAATCGATATGTGGAACATCATATTACACAACATAACACTTAGATCCTAATGATAATTAATGTCAAAACTGACACCATGGTCAATATAGTTTTGAGCTTTTGAAAGCTCACACTCACACGATTACTTGGATAGAACACCTTTTTGTGTCAAGCATGTGAATGATTTCAGTATAACCAAAATTCCTTTATGAACCACCTACAATAACTTGTCAGGCCTAAGACACTCTAAGTTTCTGTAGGTGTAGTCGGTTTGGACTAACTGTGAGAAAACCTTAATCTTCTTTGAATCAACTCTAATACCCTTATTACTTACCATGTGACCCAAGAAAGATATTGTATCCAACAGAAATTCACACTTGAATAACTTAGCATACAACTTTTGATCCTTCAAAACCTTAAGCATCATCTTTAAGTACTGTAGTTCATGTTTTCCCCTGCGAAAGATATATTAAAATATTGTCAAAAAATCCAAGTGCGATTTGAACACGTAATTCATCAAGTTCATAAATATTGTCAGTGCATTAGTCAAACCAAATGATATAACATAGAGCTCATAGTGCCCATATAGGCTAAAAGATGTCTTGCGAATATCTGGAGCTATAATCTTCAAGTTGTGGTAACTCTATCTCAAATCAATCGTTGAAAAGACCGAACCACTCTATAGCTGATAAAAAAGATCATCAATACAAGGAAAATAATATTTATTCTTGATTGTAACATTTTTAGCTGCCTATATTCAATACACATGACATGCATTGTGCAATCCTTCTTATTCACAAATATGACAAGCGCACCCTAGATAAGACACTCAATCTATTAATTCTTTACTCAATAAATCCTGTAATTGTTCCTTCAACTTCCTCAACTCAACACACGCTACATTATATATGGAGAAATAGAAATGAATTGAGTATCCAATCTAAAATCAATTCTTAAGTCAATACCCTTACTAGAGCTGTCAATATGGACTGGTCCACCCCATCCAGGCTAACCCATACAGGCTTTGAAATTTTACAGGCTAGGCCGAGCTAGCCCATTTTTTTGTGTGGGCCAGAAAATGGTCGGCCCAGCCCATAAGTACATGGGCTACGAGCTTTGTCGGGCCAACCCTCTTTTTTTAAAAGTATATTTTTTATAATTTTTTTAATTAAATTATAATTTAAAAATATTATAATAATATCGACAAAAAAAATTACATGGTGTTAGTGTTACTACTTGTTAATCAAATCTACAAATAAAATTATCTTTATAATATATATTAAGTTTGATTTCAAGTAAAACAATAAATAGCTAAATAGAAATATTAATCCAATTGTTTTCCAATGATCATAATAAAAAATAAAAACGATGACAACATTACATAGATTACAACCTATGTAGTGATTCCCTAGAAATTTTAGGAAAAAATTATTTTATGTAGTACATATTATATAAACATAATTTATATTTAAATTGTAATATTTCAAACTTTTAATAGATTTTGAGTTTAGACTCTTGTTATTTTTAATACTCTATTTTATTTTTATTTTTTTAATTAATTTTTATTTAACCCACGGGCCGGCTCTATCCATATTTCTCAAGCCCCACAAATCGGCAGACTTATTCAGGCCGGGCTAAAAAACCCTTTTCTTAAATGGCCTGGGCTCCAAAAATCGTAGTCCAGCCCTATTAAATCACGGGTTAGGCCATGCCGACCCTACGGTCCTAGTCCATATTGATGGCTCTAACCCTTATCGTGAGGAATACCAGAAAAATTAGTAGGAAAACTATTATGAAACTCCCCAACTATAGGCACAGAGTCATGCAATTGGTTTGCTTACCGGGGTTGGATAAGTGTTATAGTTTATTATTTTTGGATTGTGACATATATATATATAGAAAATTTAAGTTGTATAATACTTTAAACGAAAAAAAGAACAAGGAATAACTAATACAAAAATTAATAATACATGGATAAGAATATTAAAGTTAGAAATTTATCCTTTGAAGAGCAAGAATGGAGATGTTGCTCACTGCTAGGCTCTTCCTATTCTCAATCTATTAGAGATAAATAATATTAGTTAATTGAACTGTCGAAATATGGAAGGTATAATAAACAAATATTTTATTTTTAAAAATTATATAATATATAATAATTTAATACAATAAACCAAACATTCTAAAAAATATATTCATGCATTATAATCTCTAAGTTACATATTTCATAAGTAATTCCTACATTACCTATATCTATATATATAACTCTAACCAGCAACAAAACAACCCCATTACCGATTTAGAAAATATTTGTTATAGTTAATAGTATTTTTTATTTAAGCGAACATTTGAATAATAAGCTTTGCACAAAATAATATTGCAAATTCTTTTGTGAATGCTCAATGTGGATCATCATATATCTCTTATTCATGCGAACCTATGAAGATAGTCAATGAAAATAATTATTAGATAAATGCAATAATGTATATATTTATTTCAATTTGATGAGGTACAATCATATAATTAGTCGTATCTCACTAATATTACCTTATAAATGATATTTGTTGTGTATTTTTCTTATCATCTAACTAGGTGTGCTTTGCACGTGTATTCCACGTTAAACTATTTAGATATTATATGAACATGTGAAGAGAACAACTACATTTTATTTTTTAGAACTATTTTGTATATTAATTTTTATTTTATAAGTTATAACATAATATATGACGTTGTTGTCTCTCATATTTGACTTCTTGATTGATGGTGTACATAAATCAAAGATAGTTATTAACTAAGAAAGGTTTCGTTTTTTTTACAGGAAAAACTAATAATTAAAATTTAAAAAAAAATTCTATCTGTGAAATTATATATATAATCAAATGTTGATCTTACATCTAAGAAAGATATAGTCATTTACTTGTAGACAATTTTTAATTTATTCAACCAAGCATGATTCGTTCAAGGAAAAATAACAATATCGTGTTATCACATATATTGGGGCAGTATAATAATATGAAAAATTATTGGTGAAAAGTTAATATAAGGAATGATGAAAGATAGAAATAATTAATGTAATAACTATGAGGATTTATAATATTATAACTAAAGAATGTAAAAGAGTGTGAATAACGTTTGCAATAATTAGTAATAACTAAGGGAATTTATAATTTTATAGCTAAAGAATTAATGTGCAATAGTTGAATTTGTAATAAATTTTAATTAATGTTACTATTTTTCATAGTTATTAGATTTTAATTTAGGGTAGGGACAAAATGAAAATGTTTATTCCATATTACTGAATATAAAATTATTTTGTAAATAAAAATTTTTAAATAATTCATTTATATTCACATATTTTCACATTTGTCGTGATTTAAAAAAAAAAGAACTCGGAACATTTTAAAATAATATATTTTGAAGTTAGAAGATCTTGTTAACTTGATAATAACTCATAAAAATATTTATCTCATAAAAATTAACTATTAAATAAATAATAAAAATAAACTAATACAAACTTCACATGGCGTTATTACAAGTCATATGATCTTTTCTTTGTCTAAAATACTGAAAAATTAAGAAATAATAAATCAGTAAAACAAAAGAGCAATTAATGTTTATATAGTAATAACTATTTTGAAGAAAACTTCATGACAATCTAAATCACATAAGTAGCATTATTAAATAAAATCATTCTTTTGTCTTGAGCATTAAAAAAATAAATCGTGATAATTCTCTAACTCTTGAGAAGTTTAATAATTTAGGAAAACGATATTCAGAAGCATTTATCTACATCACAAGAGAAATTGTTAAAAAAACAAATGAATTTAGACTACATCATGTTAACTTCATATATTAGAACATTACATACTAATATATATATTAAGCAAACAAATAATTATCATATTATCAGAATTATTTCTTCAAGTACTCGAGGTTAAGAAATATATCCTCTCAAGATAGATCGATTTACTTCATTAGAATAGTTGTACCTCATATTCTGCTAAACTTCGAACTCACTCAATGATAATAAATCACACTAAATTTTCAAAAAATGCAAGAAGAAGAGTAGAAGATTAAAAAAAATTGTGGGTCAAAAATGAGAGGAAACCCTCTATTTATAGTCAATAAAGGATAGCATGAACAAGTATTTTTTGTGTCTTATTTGAAAAGTCATGACCTATCCGAGAAGTCAATCTTTGGAAAAGTCACACCTTATTGAAAAGTCACAACTCATCGAAATATCTCAACCCTTAGAAAAAAGTCATAACTCATCGAAAATCACAACCCTTTTTAAAAAGTCACAACTTATCGAAAAAGTCAAACTCATCGAAAAAGTCACAACCTAAGTTAGGGATATTATAGTAATTTAACATTCAAGTTAAGAGTATATGTTGTTCAGGTAATATAGATATAGTGAAGCACAATTTTAGTTGTTTACAGTGAGATAGATCAATGGAAAACTAAAGATGGTCAACAAGGAAATTAAAGACCTTGAGAGATGAAGAAAATGTTGATGACTCTTTTCATCAAATTAATTAAGTTTTTGTAGGTTAAGTTACATGATAACTTTACTAGTAATGTAGGTATTCAATAAAATAATTCATGTATTTACAAGAAAATGTAATTAGTTATATAGAAGTTGTGACAATTGTGAGGCAATTTTAATTAGCATAATATATAAACATGACCCTTAACTTGACTTCAGCTGACAACTATGATCTTTAACTTCAAATATGCACAAATAAACACTTAAACTCGTATAAAATTGAACATATAGACACAATCGTCCGATATGGCGTCCTACATGACAATTTTATGTCCTACGTGTATTATGTCACGTAGGACATGTGTGCCAACTTGTACAATTTTTATACAAATTTAAGTGTCTAGTTATGCACGCCCAAAGTTGGGGCATAGATGTCAGCTGAAGCCAAGTTAAATGACATATTTATGTATTATGCCAATTTAATTTTACTTTCTTTACAATGAACAATTTACATGTAAGAACTGATGTGATTAGCATCCAAACACCCTGCTAGCACTTTTCTTATGCATAGATGGAGTTAGAAGCTCCATTGTATAGCTACCAAAATCGATCCTTGTTAACGCTCAAGTATCCAGACATGACTTTCCCTCCGGTATTCCTCATACCGTCTATGAGGAAACACCACGTCGATCCCAATGCTCCAATGAAGAAATCGGCTTCACTTGCCAACAAAAAATTAACAAGAGGATAATTCGTGCTCGTCTCCCTCCCAAGACTGGCTTCATAAGTTGCCATTGTCATGTTACCCGTTTGGCGTGTCACATTTGTGTAGTAAAACGTCCAATGAGGGTACAGTCTTGATTGATCTACAACTTCCTGTTATGTTGAACATGTGTGATTATGACAATCAGGGTGAAAAACTACCCGGCCAAGTATGAGAAAAGTGAGATATACCTGCATTTCTGTCGAAAGCCAGATGCTCTTAAGATTAGGGAAGTGCTTTGTTATGCGCTCAGCAAGATGCATGTATTCTTTGAACCCAACAACTATCATCTCACATGCCTTGTCGCCCATTCGAACATGCATGCTCAACATTGGCCTAGGACTCCAAGGTTTATGACTTGACCATACAAAACTTTCGATGTCATGTTTGGCCGCCTTGTCTACTCCCTGAGAAAGAAAATGACAAAAAGATCTTTTTAATCATAAAGAATCACATTGAAACATCATAAACGATCGATTTTCTACTTCTCCATGTGAACAAACAAGACTAAGGATTGTCACAAATGTAAAGATGGAATGGACATAGGGAAATAGAAGAAATCCATATTAAATTGATTGACGAACGAGGATAACCATAAACTCTATCACAATTCACAATTGGATGAACAAGTAATAGCCCTGATGAAGATAGATCTTCTAGTCAAGAAGAGATCATGAATAGAGTTTGCTACCTCAGGAAAATCTCTAAATTGACTTTCAAGAACCATTCTCGCTGCTTCCCAGCCAAATGCTGCATGCCGTGCTTGGTTTAGCAAGTTACATGTGTACTCAGTCTGAAACCGCATTAGGTAGCGCACTGCCTGGAGAAGATATAGAAATCATGAAAAACATATGCGAATGCACTAGAAAAAGCAACAGGCATCTACTACCTGAGCACGCCACCACCTCCTATCCATTTTGCGATGATAAGCAATTAAACTTCCATTAATATCTGTTGTTGGCTGCAAATAACTCCAAGGTTTTCCCCATGACCTGAAATTGAGATGCTATCAGTTGCATAAATTATATAATACTTTATCCATAGTTGCTATTGCAGGGTGTATATTTATTTTCACGATGGCGTCTGTAATAGCTTTACCTGGGAGTGCGTCCAGACCATATCTCTTTAGACGTATAGTTTTCTTTTATCGTTATGATCCCTTTTTCCCATGCTTCTTTTTGTTTCATGAGCTCAAAAGCACGATCTCTGCATTCAGGAGATGTTTCTGGAAAGAAGTAGCAAGACCAACTGGAGCGTGATGAACCTATGAAGGCAATATTGATAGAATTTCATACCAATAGCCATATACACATACATAAAGTAGCATATCAATATCATGTATCAACTTCAAAATACATTAAGGAAGAAACTCCATAGTCTTACTTAACACTGCATATTTTAATGTTTGTTTAGAGACCAATCAATTTTTGAAGGTTTAACAACAAAACAGGACGTATGCTATAGAATCAAACTAATAGGAAAGTTATCACTTTTTGGTGCTCTCAAATCTCCTGTGGTTTCTACAACTATATTTGGTCAATTGTTGTTGAACTGGATGACCCAAAGGGATATAAAAGTGTAAAGAACATGCAGTGACAGTTAGAACTACCTTTACAACCATTGTGGTCAGCACGGTTATAATAGCTCGTAACAAGAACCCTTTTCTCATTGATTGCTATTGCAAGAAGACCACACATTCCAGCTATCTGTGCACCAATACCGAACCCGGGTATTCTCTCCCAGTCAGCTATCAGAAACTTTACATTTCCATCACTGCAGTTCAAAGGATGTTGATGGAGCCATATGTCACGTTGCACCTTCCTTGTTAAAGGGTAATTCTCTTCATCTGAGCCCTTGATCTGCAATTCATTCTTATATTTGAAACGCTCTTTGGTACTATATTTAACAGTTTTTAATAAGAAAAAATGTCTAGTACAGGTGTATCTTCATTCTTTTACAAATTGGGTTATGCATAGAAATAATGCATGAAAATAACATACCCAGGGAGGATAAGCTCCTTCAGATACTGTTTGATGTCTATAATATCGAAGCTGTTCATCTTCAGCTGTCCACGGGAAGTTATCTAACTGTCCCTTCCATATAGTCCATGGAGGGAAGCTATCATTTTGAAGTCGGGTATCAAGTCGTTCATTTGTTTCTGCACTTAGCTTGCAGTCCTCCAAGTGAGGTGCTTTTGGTAAGTTGGATTTGCCTTCATTTGCTGATTGATTCACTAAATTACCCCAAGATGAGTAGAGTAATGACACCCTCTCATGTACCCCCAGTGCCAACTTTTCGTGGGAAAAGAACCGGCTTTCTATATTCTTTTGTTTAACATTGCAGTCTCCACCTGTAACAAGGTCAGTACATAAGATTTATTTCTGGTTGTGTACTAATGACAGGAAGATGTAATAATATATTGTTTAGTGCTTAAGAGACGACAATCACAACCAATTTTCTTCTCATTTACTATACTGGGAGTATCTGTAGAGTCACAACACAGGACGTTAATAAACACTAGCTTGATTACTGTTTTCTATTGCACTAACTTTAGATTGTAATGACTAGGCAAAATAGTTAAATCCCATAGTTTGATTTAATTTGTCAGCAATCATGCCGCTGCTAATCCAATATCCTATCTATGTCTATGAGATTGGTGTCCTCCTAAGTTGGTCGGACTCGGGTGCCGGTGTCCGATAATCTAGAGGTCAGATCCTTCATTTTTACGATTCGGGGATATGGATGCATTGTATGGATATGAGTACGGGGATTCACCTAAAAATAGAGTTATAAAGCCTAAATTATGAGATATTATGTGGAGAAAGGTTGAAGGAGATTAAAGGAAAAGGAGTGACATAGAAAAGGTATTTCATTTTTCTTCAATTTCAACTTAGCTTTTGTATTGATTACAAAAATCATTAACTGTCCAGAGTTTTCCCATTGATTTTGATAAAAGTGCCCAAAATCGGTCACCCGTGTCGACACAGAGTGAAAAATCCAAGCAACTTCGGTGTCCTCTGTTCTCAATAGAAAGGTATGACAACAGTCAAAGTAGAGGCATTATTTGGATTTGAATAAAAATTCAAATAATTCCAAACTTAGGTTGCTTAAAAAACACTCTTGGAACAAAACTGAAACCTTTAATATCATCGAATATATAAGTATAGAACAATCAAGCTAAGCTCCATCATTATCAACAAAAACAAAAACATTGAAAGAGAAGGGAAGAAAAATGATGTCTACTTACTTATTAAGGTTGTTGAAGAAGAAGTGAATGTTGAAATTGGAGATAAAAGTGAAAGGCCACCAAATGAAGCAAGAAATAAAGAAGTGAGACAAACACCAGATAGAAAGCCAAGCACACAAATTTGGCATGGAAATGAGCTTCCTATTTGCAGAGCCCTCTGTGAAACAACTCTTTCAAGAGACCTCTGTTCCATATTTTCTCTTTCCTCAAAAATTTGAACACACCTCCATGCTACTAATTATTTCTATCAGAAAGAAGAAATTAAAATCAAAACAAATTTCATTAGGTGCTACCAACTTGTGTAGGAATTAATTAGGCGCAGTAATAGTTGTTGTACTTTTGTTCCAACTGCAAGAATAAATCTCATCAGTTTAATAGGCTTAACATCTATGAAGAAAACAGTGATATATAGTTGATGAAGGAATAAATTAATCAACATCATATATATATATACATGGTTTAAAAATGAGAATAACAAAACTTTTATTTACACAAATATATGGTTAAAGCTGAAAGACCAAATGCATTTGATGATACCTGGTGCGATATTCGAGGAGAATCTGTGTAAAATTAAGTCAGTAGACAGTACTCGTTCGTGAGTAACAAATAATTTAGTGGAAGATACAAGGCAAATACGTAGAACAACCATGCCAGCAGACACTTTTTTTTGTCTTCTTTTCTGCTGCAAAACATAATTTTATTAGTATAATTAACACAAGCAAGCAAGAAAATAGGTGTTACTCACAAGAAAGGAGGAGATAAAGATAAGCATTTTCAGCTGAATAAAAAAGATGTCATGTGAAAAGTTACCCCACACACAACAAGACATTATCCAGCTGTAATGGAGTGCCACTCTTATTCACCAAATTCCTGCCTTCCTTCCTTTTTGTTTTATATTACTAATATTCCCTCTCCTTCCTTCCTCTTCACTGTCTATTATTAACTTAACTCGTAAATTAAAAAGTAGTAATTGATAGAGCTAATTTTATCAATTCATTCCTATTAGAAAAATGAATAATATTTAATATCAAGATTAAAATAAATACAAAATCATAAATTCTTTTATTGACTTTATAAATTAGATAAATATTATCATTAAATATTTCAAAATAATATATTAAAAAATTAAAAATAGACGGAGAAAGTAATAAATGGAAGTATATATAGATGGGACTCCCACACACACGATGACCGCTGATGGTGACGTCTGCTTTCCAGCAAATAATCGACGTATTTCATTTTTCTTCTTCTTTTATTTAATAAAAGGGCGTTTGGCTGGACTTGCCTAATTTTGCTCACTTCCTTGGATAGTTCAACTTATATTAATCTCACCTCCTAATTTTGTCTTCCAATTTCCTTTAAAACACACATACAATTTTTTTTTATATATATAAACACAAGCTACAAGTTAGAATTTATGATTTTTATTATTTTATTTGAAATTACGAAATTGAACCAAAAATTGAATCAAGTCAAATTGAATAAAATCCGACTAATGATTTGATTGACTTGATTTGATATTGAAAAAAAAACTCACTATACTTGAGTTGATTGATTTTAACTAAAAAAAAAATCACCATGAGGTCAAACTAATCCGACAATATATATATTAGTTTTAAAATTTATTTTATACATAAAAATATTTACTTTAATATAATTTCTAAATATTTCTTATACTTTTTTATAATTGTAATCTTTTATCATATTATTTCTAGATTTTGATACTTGAAATTTTGAATGGTCCAATAAATGTTATAATCCATAGATATTAGTAACTCTAATAAAGCTCGAATCAAAATCAAATCAGTATTGATGGTAACAAAATAAATTAATTCAACACTAAGAGTGACAATAATGTTGAATATTTGTTCTTTAGCTTTACATTGGCTTAAACATTTATGATACATAACCTAATTTTAAGTTTTCTTTAATATTTGATCATGTACTTAAATACTTATTACTTATTAGACTTATTTTAGCATGTATGAGTACTTTTAAATTATAATCATTTTCATTATGTCTTATTAATTTACAATATTTATTTTATGCATTTTCATTATTATTTTTTGTTGAATATTTTAGTGTCAGCATTGATATCATATTTTGTGTTATTTTCTTAAGAAACACCTTAGATAATTGTATATTGGTAGGACTAAAACAACATTTGGAGCACAAGTTAATTATATATTTTTATAATACTTTATCAAAAAAATCTAAAAAAGATAAAAAAAAATCGAGGTTGAAAAATCTAAGTTTTATTAGCTTTAGTTCATGAATTTAAAAATTTAACACAAATAATTTGATTTGATATTTAAAAAACCTTAACCAACTCAACCATCTACACCCCTATTCATCTTACTCCAATATTATAAAATATGTAAAATTATTTTACTTAAAACATCTAAAATAAGTCACACACTTCTCTTCTTCTTATTTTTTTTAAAAAAATACTGCTAAGCTAATGCATGCACCAGTGGTGGACTGGTAGGTGGTATAGTTTTAGAAGTATATCATAAAATTTATGTAATTATAAAAACGTGGTATTAAATATAAAATGATATTTAAAATTTCATTGTTTTTAATTACCGAGTGATGTCACCTATTAAGTAGATTTAATTAATAAAAAGATAGTACTGCATAAAATAAATTTGAGGGAGTATATGGTTCGGGGATTTGGTTGTTTATACTCTATTTGTCTTTTCTTTGAGTAAATTTTACGTAATCTCCTTAATCTTTAATAGTTTTAAAAAATAATACTCCCTTCAGCTTTTTTGTGAGTTTTAGGATTATTTTTTTTAAAAAAAAATCTCATAATATCTAAATGAGTAGTCATATAATCATTTTATCCAAATTTATATGATAATTTTTGCTTTTCAAAATTCAAACAATACGAACTTTGATTAATATTTTAAAATACAACTTTAATTATATTGACATAAGAAGAATGGTAACGTATAGTACCTATATCTAAATTTTAATATTAAAATATTAAATTGATCTAATTTAATTTAATTTTAAAAATTAATTAAGATAACTTAAAAAAAATGAAAAGTAGTACATAAATTAGGAGGGAAAGAATAATATTCTTTTTGTTTATGCTCACAAGTTCAATAAACAAAGTTAAGGTGGAGATAAAAATTTAAGGAATAATTAAAGTAGGAGGTTTCGTATGAATCAATCAAAATAATGCATGCTAGTTGGTGCAATGAGAGCAACAAGTTTTATTTGTCCTAGAGTAAGGATTAAGACAATTTGAAGTTCTCTTTTTGTTTTTATTTCTCATTTTCTTGATGGGCTATCACAATTTCTAATTAGCTTAACATTTTGAGTTTTACATTGCTCTTCAACTTTATATTATCCTAAATGAAGTTTACCGTTTGACAAGTGAGACTTATTTCAATAGTTGAGCAGTTTCATTTTCGATAAACAGAGGCGAACCTATATAGGTAGGTAAAGGTGCACGTGCACCCGTTATCTTTGAAAAGTATAGAATGACACTTTGTACGATTTGGTACAAATCGAAGTATTCGCCCTCGCTACCTTGGTTTGAGCCCAACCAGAATCATTTATAAGTTCTAAATTTAAAGGAGGTTTATTAATTTATAACATTAAAATTGCTAGACAAGGGTTCGAACTCGTGATCACTAAGTAGAACAAACCCACCTTGACCATTGAAAGTTTCTCTAATGCTAAATTAAGATAATATTGGTACACCAAAGTCTTCAAATTTTGAGTTCGCCTCGACCGATAAATTAAGAATTCGAGTTGATGTTGAAGAATTAATAGAAATACTAGGGAAACAAAAGAAGAAACAAGTTCTTTTTTTGGTATTAGGCTATTAGCTCAAGTTATAACAGATGCCTCCAAATGATCACTAGAAGTGTGTGATGGCTCTAGGTGTTCAGATGGTTGGGATATATGTTATTAATTATGTAATTTGAAATAATATTTAGTATAGCATAATTATTTAAAATTTTAGTAGATCATGTATTCATATGTATGTCTATAGTAGATGATTTAGTTTATAAAGTTTAGCTTATATATGAAAGATTATTAAATTATTAACTTTTGTAAGTATAAGTTTAGGTTCACAATCTAATATGAAAATTGAACAAAGTGCATAAGATTAAATATTATTTATCTTAATTATGGAAGAGGTATAGTTTTATCTTTTTTGTGCTAATATATTTTGTATGTATTTAACATACTAAGTAGAGATCAGTATTTTAAATTGACATGATAAATAAATTTTCTAGCCCATTAAAAAAATTTATACTCTTAGTCTTGTATAATTAAATTATTACTTCTGTATATTGTGTAATCATTTAAAATTTATTAGATATAAATTCATAAAATTATCCTAATGTCTAAATAAATATTGTGGATTAATATAGTTGAATTAATTATTTAAGTTTAATACATATGGATTTAATTAAAGTCAAATTTCATTGATCTAGTCCATCAAATTAGGTTACAAATGATGAACCCACCTTTTTTAGCTCAATATGGCATCTTATTCTAGAGACCCAATTTGATGTCACATGTCAAATAATGTAGCATGTCAAGTTAAATGAATAAGCAAATAGGATCATGCCACATGTCAAAATGACTTAACATGCATAGCCAAATCAAAGATTAATAAAAATGTGTTACGGATGTACAAGTGACATGTTCCGACCAATTAAGTATCACCATGTCTCTTTAATCTGATTGTGCGAATAAAGTCCATCCTCATCACATATCTTTCATTCGACAACTATAAATAAGGATGCTCATAATTCACAAAATTCTCCAGAATTCTAACAAAAAGCAGAGAAACTCTGTGGATCAAATGTCACAAATTTCTCAACAAGCTATAAGTTCAAGCATTCAAGTTTAAAACACCACTCAAGATCAAGACCACTAAGTTTTCAAAGTGGCTATTTTGCCAACCATCCCTTGATACTTGTCTTTATATATATATAATTTGATTCTCAAAAACACTTTTTTTTTAAAAATTAGTCAAATACAATTTGCTTATCAAAAACACTTTTCAATTGAATTAGCCAAACACAAATTATTATTTTTTAAAAGCACTTTTTTTGAAAAGCTATTTTTAAAAAAATGCTAAAAATAAGCATTTTTTAGCAGTAATACCAAATAGGCTCTTAATATAGTATTTGGATTCTCTTTCCTAAGTAAAGATAAAGTCCATGGATACTACATAGCAATAGACTAATCTATATATAATAAATCTAGATATAGAATTGGTGATGTGATACCTCTATATGATCACCATTCATATTTATCTTTTTTCTCTTTTTTTTTTTGACATTTTCTCTTTTTCTTTGACAATTTCTATAATTTTA